TTAGATACAAAAGGAAATTTTTTTATGAATTTCTAGCTTAAAATAATTTGTGAATTTTCGTGATTTTTACGTCTGTTGTCAAAATTTGAACTTTAAATGCTTATAAATAAAAATTTGTGACTATGTATTCAAATTTTTTGAAAATTGCATGGTGGATAGGATATACTTATATAAACATTCGGTGAAAATTTCATGTATCTATGGTCTTTTGTTTTAATGTTAYATCAAAAACCAAAATCGATTTTGTCGAAAAATGAGTGTGCGTAAAATTTCTCGTTTTTCCCTTAATTTTTAGTTTGGTTTTCTCAGTTATTTAGAAAAGTATTAAGAATTTTTCACTTTTGACCCCCCAAAGTACCAACTAGATTCACTTTCTGATCGAACAAGGTACTGAAGTAAAAAATCAAAGCATTTTTACTGCCCCAAAACGTCATGACAGACACACACACACACAAAAAAAATAAAACACACATCATGATAAAATCAATACATTCGTCGCTCCGCTCAGAATCTAAAATCGAATATAAAACTTTTAAATGCTGTAAACATTAGTTTCATGCAGAAAATATTTATTAGAAAAATATCCAATAACCAAAACCTATAGGATTTTCATATAAATTATTTTTCATCGTACCTACATTTTAAGTATGACGCTCTGGACAATGCTCAATCTTGCATCCCCTACACGTAACTACGAAAGTAGTTAATTATGAAACAAACAATCTAAAAATGATTGTTATTTTAAGTTCATATTTTGATTACATATTAAATAACCAAAATCAATTTTATTCATATAGTTGTTGTTTAAAAATATTAATTGTGGGTACCAAAAAATTAAGGACTTTTAATAMATACAATTTCTTAGCAATTAGTCCGGACATTTAGGAATGCATTAAGGGTAGACAGAAATCAGTTTTTATATAATATAGTAATATACTTATAGATGCTGAAACACAAGGGCCAGTCGTAAATTCAATTTGGGTTGTGCAAAAAATCATAACATATACAACAAATACTAATATCAGTTTATCAGTTATCATCAAACGTTATATTAATAAATAAACAGGTAAGTTAATAATTAATAAGTTATGGCCAACTCAATTTGACCCATCATCTATTTAATCTATTCTGTGCCATCATCAACAATTAACAATGAATTCTAGTGTAAAAAAAGCACTGCTTGTTTTCACAACACCCCCCCCCCCAAACAAAAAAATAATAATAATAATTTAAACATAAGGTATATTGGAATACATTTTTTGTTTTGTATGGCTCTATATCCAGGAGTAGGCACTGAGGCTCCGTTCGGACACCTATTTAGCAGAATTTCTTGTGGACACCCATAGGTTACTACCATGCTCAGGTGGAGGAATGATATTCCATTTACATATTTAAAAATTAATTTAAATATTGCTAAGAATAAACCAACAACAGGAACAAAATACACAAATACTTTCTTTTTTTTTGTAATTGCATTGTTACTTAGTWATACTCATAGCCGAAGAAAGGAAACACATTGATATAAAATATGATTTAAATAAAATTGGGTTGAAAGAAACAAGCAGATACCAATTATGGAATAAGTCCAACAATTTTATTAAAGAAGTGTTTTATTTACATTCACAAGGATATTGACTGCCCCGAAAAGTACATTCATACACTTCTAACGATCATTTTACTGAAAAAAAAAATTTAAAAAAAAATTGTAATAATTGAAGCACAACAAAATTACTTATTTACAGTACCTTTTTTCCCGAGGTTGCACCAACTTTAGTCTTTTTGGTACCTCGCACCTTCTTCATTCTGTTCTTCCTTTCCTTTCTTTGTTTTCTTGTCTGAGTTTTCTTTTCGAAAAGTCCATGCTAAATAAACAATTTGTTTTGTAAATATTAATTCCAGCTATAAAATTATAATATAAAATAAAATTATTACCCTTTGAAGTCTATATTTTGGTTCAAACTTCTTTGCATGATCTAATGTGTCATAGATAAGAGCAAAACCTGTTGATTTTCCACCTCCAAAACATGTTTGGAAACCAAAGACAAATACAACATCAGGTAAAACTTTAAACATCTTAGCTAATTTTTCACGAATATCAGTTTTTTTAGGAGAAGGTTTCCCTGGATGCATTACATCAACAACCTAAATAAATAATATGTTAATTATCTAAATAACAGATAAACTAATAAATACTAATAAACACAATGTTACATAAATAATTTGGTTTAAGGGTTAATGGAGTCAAATAAAATGTTTCATTAAACCGGATTGAGTTATACATAGCCAATAATAATTCAAAAATATCTGAATTAATCATTAAGTTTATTTGACAACAAGCGAAGTTACAGTTACCCATGATTATAAATCCTTCAAATCAAATTATTGTAAATCAGGCCTAAATGTGTAGTAAACAAACATAAGACGACCATTTTTATATAAAGGGACAAAAAGTTTTAGGTAGATACTCTTAAAAAGAATCCCAATAATTTTTAAATTAATTTTATATTGTACAATTTAAATAATGTTAAATAGGTAAGCTTAATATTTTAATGAAACATGTYTTGTTTAGATCAGTTTTTTTGTGAACTTAGAAAAATTGGTCAAAGTAATCTTACTGTATTTGRATTGATATTAATTAAATCATAATTTTCTAAACAACAAATCATCACATCAACACTTGTTCCATGATAACTGTAATACTTAACAACTTTCAATTTATACTGTACTTCTATATTATACTGTTATTGTTTTGTATTTATTTCATCAATTAATATTAATTTAATACATAATATAATGGAGATACCTAACAGGATTAAAATAGGATAAAAAGCCACWGCWTTTGATCATTGATTATTTATTTATAACTGAATGTATGAATTGTTTAATTATTAATTTTTTACTCACCATTTGCTTTCTGCATAGTAAACGGTTGGTCATGAACTTGCGAGTCCGAATTGTAGCAGTAGAGGTATTGGCAACCTAATAAAATCAAAACAAAAGTTTAATCATATATTTTTGCTGAAAATTCAGTAGACTTCACCAATTTACAGACACCGGGATAATGTACTATAMAAATTATACAGTTAATTATTTARAAGCATTTTATTCTGATAAGTTTAGTTTAACAAATTTTAAATTATATTATTAGTGGAAGACCTATACATTCATTAAAAGCTTTTATTTTAAATGTTTTATTTAATAAAGATAAATGATGATATTTCTAATGTTATAAGGACCCAAGCTAGKTGTCAAGAATCATTTATTAATTGTACATCTCATTAAAAGAATACTTTTAAGGGCTAACCAGTAGGTCATATTATAAATATAAACAAGTCTTAGGAAAAGCCAATATTTTAGGATTAAGATTTTTCGGGATATATTTGCTTATAAAGTTTAATGGAACCCCGTCTTTTACATTTTAAGCATTTAAAAAAGACTATTTCTTAAGATTAAAATGGATAAAAATCAAATACTCACCATTTTGGCTGTTGTAAATCCGTGAGTTTAAGTAAAGGAAAACAAACTACATCTGTGTCCGAGTGTGAAAGAAAGAGACACTGGTACAATCGTTTACTACTTCTGTCCAGTGGAAATTCATTGCAATCGTTCCGAACATCATGAACATATCAGATATTAATTGAATGTCAAAAATCTCGGCTGTTGGCTACACTGTCGTTATTACATTCACGGTAACCTAACCGTGTTACATTTATAAACACGGACCACGATTAAARATATCTTAAAATGTGATACGGACTAAAATCACGAATTATATAAAACCACCAGCGACCAGCCGCGGCTGCAATAGTGCAGTACTGCAGTGCMCTCACTGGCCACTCAGTCTCAGTGCATAGTGCATACTGTAGTATCATTGCAAGCTGAACATGGTGCACTTCTTTGATTTACTGATAACACAAACCTAATTCAAACCAAAAGGGCCACATAAGATAAATAATTAAATRTACAAGTGTACAACATCTTTTACCATAATTTTATGTTTATTTTGAGCGTCATTGCCAATGGAATCCAAAAATCATCTAAAATATTGTGTAGCTTTAATTCAATATATGGTTTAGACTGTTTTAATCTTCGGGCTTATGTTTATTAAACCTACTTGTATTTTTTTAAACTTTTATTAAAATATTTTTTTTAAATTATATTTTAAATATTTAAAATACTTTTTTTGTGTATATTATTCCAGAATACTAAATTTGCTTTCTCTTTTTCTATATTATTATTTACACGTCAAGAAATAGTGACTCTGTTACACAATTAAAAARTATTTTCCCGTGTTTCATCACAAAGACAAGGAGGAAATATTTTATTTTAAAAACAAAATAAGTTTTGGAATCGGAACGTAGGAGAAGTGTTATTCATTTATTATAATGTTATTTTTTCGAAGTCTTCAAATTTTAAACGAAAAACCACACACAAAATTGGTGCAATAATAAATTAAGAATAGGTTTAAATGTTTAATGAATAACAAATTTTACACTCAGCGTACGTTGTGGCCGTTGGGCAGTAAAACAATAACAGTAATTCGGAACAAAGTACGATTACAACATACGGCTGAAGCCCTGAAGTATACATATATAAAAATACTAGATAGCCTACTAATAAATAAATAGATTCTAGTTAAAAGATAGTGGTGCTATATATAAGGTAAAGGTATCTACTCGTATTCTTATCCACGGTCTTGGAAGATATATTCAACATAGTGAATTTATTTTTCCTTTCTGATCCACACTGATTTGAGAAGTACAAAAATTTGTTAACAATGTGTTGATTTTAACCACGATTTAAGATATCTTAAATCGTGATTTTCACGAAGGCACTTTCTGACGAGCCTACAAATGCCATAGATCCGGTGGAAAGTATTACTGTTGCGGAGCCACCTCGGTAAATGTTGTTTTTATGTMTACGTCTGCGATAAGATAACATTCAAATAATTACCGCCAAGTTTAAATATTATAATCATAATAATCATAATATAATAAAACAATTAGGTATAATATAAAAAATTGAGTATTTTAATTTTTATAACTTAAATCTAAATTATTAAGTGTATAAGTCAATAATATAATTTATTACAAAAAATATTTTTTTGCCGTACATAATAATTTAAAAATAAATTAAATAATAAATTCTAAAAATATTGGAAAATCTAGTGTTCTTTATTTGCCTTGTTTTTTGGCACCTGTAATAAAATAAAAAAAAAAACATATCTAATAAATGTATCGGAAATTGGAATGAAAATTTAATGTAGATGACCTACGTCGAAAATTCTCTTTTGAGGTTTCATTTTACCCCTGTCCAATTTATTTTTTTGCTTCAATGGTACAGTTTCAATTTATGAAGCAGTGATCGAAAAATGGATGAATGCAACCTATTATTTATTTATTTTTTGTAATTGTTCTTTTGAATTTATTTTTTTTAATAATTGCTCAATTTCTTTTAATATTTCGTATCTTAAGCTGTGTAAATCTAAAAAAAGAATTGGAAAATGTAATTAAATCACAAATTTTTAATTTAACTAATACTTGTTACCATCATCATTGTGTATTTGATTTTCCGTGTCTTTGCGTATTGCCTCCATTGGTTTATCATCAYCTTTAAGTGTTGGTTCGTCGTCTTTACAAGTCACCTTTGTCTGTATACTATATCTGCGTGTGCTTTTAGTTGTTGTTTGTCTACATTTTCTGTCGTCTACTTGATTAAGGAGGTTCATTGCAACAGTGTGAATAATGAATAATTTATATTTAAGTTATAAAAATTAATATACTCAATTTTTTATATTATACCTAATTGTTTTATTATTTTATTATGATTATTATGATTATAATATTTAGACTTAGGCGGTAATTATTTGAATGTTATCTTATCGCAGTACGTAGACATAAAAACAACATTTACAGTGGTGACTCCGCAACAGTAATACTTGCCACTGGATCTATGGAATTTGTAGGCTTGTCACTTTCTGCCTTTCTGGTTTTATCTTTTATTTAATCCGTGATATTATGGTGATAACAAAGTTAGGTTAATAAAATATCTACATGTTATTATCACGATTTAAGATATATCATATTATGTATCATTGTTCTGTGCTTAAATCCTGGTTATTATTATAATATTATATCCCAATTCTTGAGAATTCTTTGATTTTATTATCTTTTATCTATATATACATCATGTCATGCTGTTAGCAGAGCGTACAGTTATAAATATAGATAATATATCTATTATCTATGTTTATAAATTATAACAATCATATATCATAAGATATAACATGTATTGTAATAATAATTAATTCTCCATCTGCAATCTGTGAAAAACTGAAAAGCCTTTTTAGTTATTTCAGGTTGTGTATGCGTCAAATGTCGATGAGTTATTTGAATTTGAGTAAGTGTTTTAAATATAATTTTTTCCGTAAGATTTTTAAAATGAGTGACACATTTTTTTCCATCTGAAACGACTAGGTACAAACATCAAAATAAAACTATTATATAATTATCTAGCTGAACCCGTCCACTCTGAAGCCTGTTAAAAATCCTACCATTTATATGTCTCAAACTGTATTAAATTTATTTCCTGTGATTATGCTAGCAGTATATTTTTATTCATATAGATAGATAACGGTTAAAATATAATAAGTAATAATCTTACAACAATATTAAATTTAGTTAATYATTATGTCATATTATCTGTTTTAACGARAAAAGTTAAAACAATTTGAATATTTGATTTAATGATATTCGGGCATATCACTTTTTAACTTAGCTTATCTTATGCCCATAAGTCTAATATTTCTCTGTATCAAATTTTATTGCTATCAGTCCAGCCGTTAGGAATGCATAAGAAACAGACAGAAATATATATATATATATAAGTAGAAGATAATCCTTTTAACCACTCTAGGGGTTGAATTTTGAAAAATTCTATTTAGTAGGTAGGTGTCTGCGTCTACATCACAAAACAAAACTATTATTTAAATTTCATACTCATAGTTTTAGTGGTTCTGGGGATGATGGATCACCCAGGACAAGTCATTTTATATATAGATAGGTTTTATATGTATGTAGGTATTAAGAACTCATGATTCTTAAAAAGTAAAAAACGGTCCCAGGTTATTATGATTAAAATACTTTTTCAAACATTTTAAATTTTTATTTAATATTTAAAATGCAAGATTATCACAAAATTAATCTTTTAAAATATTTTTTTTTAGTTGTCACAAAATGTCAACACCAAATACAAAGTCAGTCCTCAATAGACATTTTCCGTTTGCCAAGAAAAAACCGAATATACCTTCTAAACTATCTGATAAAGTCGATACAAAGATAAGCAAACAAAAACTTATTGAAGAAAAAAGTTTTCCTATTGTTAAAACTACAGAGACTAATCGATGCGATGTTTTAACAGAAAATAATGAAAAGGCTAAACCTATTCAAGAAAAATTGTTTTGTAATGAAATCCCTAAAAAAACTATATCCTCAAATTTTAATACAGTTATATCACAAAATGAAGATTCTGAAATTATATCTAAAAAAAGGGAGTCTATATCTCGGAAATCATCTACTGTATCAGAAGTTAGTATAGATGATATTAAAAAACCTAAAGAGAACTATCAACGTTGGAATATTCCTTTCTCAAGTAAATTTAAAGGCAAAGAATTTGATAAAACATTATTGACTATGCAAGATCTAATATATTATAATCCAGTCACCAATCCTATAATCAAAGAACCCAAAGTGGAACACAAAGAAGAAGACGATCCTGATAATGATTTGTTGTCTATAGATTCCGTAAGACAAAATATAAATTGTAAATATAATTAACATTTAAAATATATTATGTAATGTTGTGTTAAACTGATCTGAGATTAACATTAACATAATAGTGTTTTATCTCATATCATAATTTTTGTAATTACACAAGTAATAAATTAATRTTTAAAAAATATATGTGTACAACCCAATTTCAAATTTAAATTTTATGTGTTACAGGAACAAAAGCCAACAGTTCCTACTAACTGCATAACTCCATGTATCAAAGTAGGTATCGATGGAAAAATAATAATTGATCAAGAGACATTAACTTTAAATGAGACTGGTCTAGAAGAAAAACGAGAAGAATTGGCTAAATCTAAAGTTATTGAAGAATCTCCATACCATTCAAGAAGTTATTCTTATAAACGCAAAAAAGAAGCTTCTAAACAATGGTCCAAAGATGAAACACTTAAATTTTACAAATGTTTAATGAATTTTGGTACTGACTTTTCAATGATTCAGCAATATTGTCCTAATCGAACTCGAGCTCAAATCAAACGAAAATATAAAACAGAAGAGAAAAAAAATCTTCAGCTTGTAAATGTGGCACTAACTAATACAACACATTTTGATAGTGCTAGCATTGAAGATATGCTTGAAAATGATAATATTGAAGTAAAGGTAGTTGAAAAACTTAATAAAACTGCAGACCCAGTAGTCAACAATAAAAACATTGATCGTAGACGTCATAAAGATGTAGTACGGTCAGATTGTAGAAAAATAAGCATGTGTGCCTATATGTTGGAAGAAGAAATTGTAATAAAGAATAAAAGAAAACGTCCCAATGAAATAATTACAGCAAAAGAATTGAAAAAAGAGCTAGCTGATATGTCAAGTTTAAAGATCAAGAAAAAAACCCATACACTGTCAAGCGTTGAAGCAGGTACAAATAAAGAAAGTTTAAAACATAGTAGTGATGAAAATAATTTGAACCCTAAAGTTCGAACATTACAAGATTTTCATGAAGAATATCAGGAATGTATTACGAAATATGAAGAATCAAATAGCGAATGAAAGAAAAATATTTAAAATATTGTTGATTTTGTTACACTATGTAAATTATGTTGTTCACTTTAACTGATATTATTACAGGGCTTATTATAATATTATTTTAAAACAATAAAAATATTTTTTTATATTAAATTGATAGCATTCAATTTTAAGTGTTAATGCATTGGTTGGAGCATCCACTGGTTTATGTTGGCTAATTACAGACAGTCAGTGTCGGCCTGGTTCTAAAGGGCCCAGGCAGGATTTTATTTGGAAGGGCCCCAGCCCCCATACTACAAAATGTATTTATTATAATTAAATGAAATAAATCATAAATATGAAAAATGATGTAATACATTATATRTAAGAGACTCTATATTTGTCATTKAGCCGTCACTGCAGACAGTTATAACTTAAACACTACGCTTATATGATAGCATTTAAACGTTCTCACCGTGTAGCTTAAGAATTTCAAACGGTTTTAAAGCCATCATATAAACGTAGAAATAGTGAGAAAAAAACATTCTCACATTTACACCTGGAGTGCCTGATAATTATATCAATGGTATCATTAATTATTACTGAAGTCATTACATATCCATCAGATAACTATAGAATTTTATATTATCAAGTACCAGTACCCATGTGTGCATTTTAAAATAGGTAGGTACTTTAAAATAAAATGCTAAACTTATTTGTGGCCCTAGATATTATTTGCTATAATTAATTTAATTATTTTGAAGATTTGTGTTATACCTATGTATAGGACAATTAGAACAATCCCACGTAGATAACTAAAATTGAAAATTGCAATTGTGAAAATGAAAAACACTTCATTAATGTCTTATGAGAGATTAACAATGACACTAAGTAATTATAATTTRTGTATAMAATTTAATTTATTCATTTTTGTCAACTTAAATATTTAACTTTTGTATTTCATTGTCTTAAAACGTATGTAGGTACATCGTACATCTTAACATAATTATAAATAAAAATGTATCACTTAACCTTCATTAAATTTTTTTTTTTGCAACACAAGTTACGATGGAAAAATCATAACTATGCCCTTTTACAGGCTCGAATCCTTTCCACAGCGCCATGTTTTATGAAGTTTAAATTTTGTATTGTTTAAGTAAGCGTCTACTCTTGACCCACTTAGCCTTACAATTACAAAATAATGGTATCAACAGACAGGTAATGGTCCAATTTGGGCWTGATATTATCTTATAGATTTACCTTTATAACAGTCATTTATCAAATCAATTGATGAATGTGAAACAAATATAATAATTACCTTAACTTGATAAAAATTGTTTGTTGTTAGTCAAATCTATACCTACTCGAAAGTATACAATTACTACTCTATAATCTACGAGTATATAATAAATTATTATAATCCTAATTATTTATGTAAACTACATTTTACATTAAATTGGGTCACTATTATTCAACCCGGGTACAAGTTATATCAGGATAAATTTGAATCACTGAAAAAAAACCAAAAGAATAAAAGACCATGAAAAATAAACCAAATTTTTAAATTTTGCTATATTAGTATATTACACATGTGTCTATGCGTATATATTATGTCTATGAGATSACGTCATATTTCACTTAGTATAAGTTTTAAYTTTTTAATTGAAAATTTAGATTACTTATCCAGCTACCCAGGGGTTCTATCTGTTGAAAATTTTACAAAAACACTTTCATTAATTAGTTTATTAAAAAGATAAAAATATACAACATAAAAAAAAGTCACAATTCACAAATTTTAATAATGTGTCACAATAAAATGTTGTTGAATCTAATATTAATAAACTAAATAAATGTAATATTGTCTTCAAATTTAGTCACAATTTGTATAACTTTTAATATGAGTACTCCGAACAACATTTATAAAATATTTTATACATACATGAACACATATTTAAATTCAATCAAGTATAACAAAAAAATATGATTATTATCTACAAAGGTATACCAATTTATTTTACAAATTAAAAATTTAGAGAAGTTTTAAAATAAAATATTTAAAAAATTCTTTACATAATTTAGTTTCTTGGCAATTAGCAACATTTGCAACAGTATTGCTAAATTTAATTTAAAAACAAAAACATTACCTACTTACTCATGAATAGACTCAAATCACAGAGGGGTTAAGGGAGCTTAGCCCCCAAAATATACAGTTTTTTCTAGTAAGGTACAATCAAAATCTTTTATGTTAAAAATTTAAGTCCCCCAAAACTTTAATGGATTTCTGCTTTTGCTTATGATTTATTAAATTTTAGCGATTAATATATGTGTAATTACAATTCTGAATAATAATATGTAAGAAGTATTAAATTATTTTCAAATCTTGACATTTTGCCTCCATAATAGCTTTAATATGATAAAATATTTAATTTAATGCTAGTCAAATATAGTAAAAATAAGGGTGATGATGAGGGGAATAGATCCTCATCACAAAACTTTTAATCATTGATGGGGTAGGTTACCGTATGAGGCTTACATACTTTTCCAAACAAATATAATCTCCTTACGGCCATTACCCAAAACCAAATTATTAATTACGCTACTRGTAAAAATGTAATTGCTTTAATACAAAATAAATATTGAAATGTGTATTAACTAAAKGTATGAGGCAGTGATTTACCCACATAATACAATAGTAATGACATATGTGAATTAGACTTTACAAATTTTATAGAAGCATTGTATGATGACAATATTTACTATTTTATTATATTAATTTGATGCAATGATTACAATAAAAAATTAAAATACATTTATTTATAAAATATGTAAATTGAGTTGAAAATCATGTATTAATATCATTGTTCATTTTGATTGATGAAACTTAATTGTAATGCTATCTTGTTTGATTTAAAATTGAATATGGTTACAACAAAATTATTGGTACTAAAAGTCAAAATTGCACATAATATTATAATTATCTATCGACAATAGTTTAACATTCTTTTTATATTGTTATCACATAAAATTTAGTTAAAATTACTATTTATCTTTGAGAAGACATCTGCTTTATAAGTGGTTTGATATAAACAATTTCAAAAACTAATTTAATGTAATGAAAAAGTAATTTYACTAGTACCATATAATTAGTTGTTTGTTGAGTAATTATGAAACTATATGCATAAATGGTTTCACATGGGCAGAACCTATAATGCCACTGTTATAAATATAAACCAAATTTTCACCGTTAATAGATAATAGTGTACATTTGATGAAACAAGGAATATTGCCAGAGTGGTCTTATCCCCGTGAAATAACTTTAAAGAATTGCAGTCCTCAAAAATAAAAAATAAAAATAGTTTAGCCTTATCACAGAATAAAAATTATACATATATATTTTTAACAACCCTTCAACTAATGAGGATGTAAAATATATTATTTACATTACTTCAATGTTTAAATCTAAAATGCAACTAAAACTTTGCTCCCTTTCTTAAGGAATATGTASAATTATCACAATTTATTATTTTTTGTTACATTTAACAAAAAAATTAATTAATATGAGTTTTTAGCCAAGTCCAAAAACCATGAACAAAACCATACAAACGCAATCGATTTGATGTTATTGCATGCTTAGTGTTCATTAACATGGTTATATATCAGGAAACCATTGGATGACTAGTGGCTGATGTAGAATCATCATCAAATGGAAAATCGTCACTAATCCAATCTCCTTCGTCAGACATTGTTATAGATGTATACACCATATGACGACGTTCAGCAGCAGACATTGAAAAATGACTGATAGACAAATATAAAAAAAACACATAGGTCAGTGTCTGAAACACTCCACCGGTATATCAAAAACATACAAACAAAATAAAACTATAAAAGAAATTAAAAATCCTTAACATGCTCTTGCAATACATTAATCAATCAATTAGTAAAAATTAGCAAGCCATTAATTAGTAAATACAAATTAATTATAATATATATATATATACATATTTTATATACATAAGAAAATGATTAAGTTAACTCACAAGTCACAGATAATAGTTTATAAAATAATATCWAATTTTAAATGAATTTACGTATTACTAAAAACTAAATAATAACAACAATTTTAATTGTTGAAAAATCACCAGATAAAAGACATTTGCAAGATAGGTATTTTATCCACATGTTTATTAGTGATTTATTAGCAGACTCTAGTGTAATAGTGACAATTCATAGAAGTTCTAGAATTTTACAAAAGCCAAA